TATTTCTCTTGTGGTCAATATGCACCGTGAGTGTTGAGTTTTCCGAGCACTCGTCCTTCATCATGTGTCCAAAGCAATTTAAGCCCTTTTTTCCGGATTCTAAGTATAAGTGTTCTTTCTCTTGGCATTATCCTTCATAGTTCCTTGTTGATTTCTCGACCTGTCCATAGAATTTTCAGTATCCCTCCGCAGAACCACATTCCTGTTGCTTCTAATTTTTTATTCCACATCGGTGTGAAGAATATTCAACATTTACTGCCATATAAAAGGATGGATATCATACAGTAATCTAGCACACTTTTTCTTTGTTATCCAGGACAAGATTGTATTAATACGTAATGAACATCGAGGAAATATTGACTAAATGAGACAATTGCAACTTTTAGATATTGAAACTGCATAATATTAGGTTTTGTATAGGTAGTCGTATTAATACGTCCGAGTACTGTATCGCTTGTAGGCGCGGTAAATGGAAAAAGAGGGCTGAGATCAAACTTGATCTCTATCTGTTACACTCAAGTTTGCAATAATGCTATATGAAAACATGGTTCAAATCCCCATCCCGACTCATGAATGGGTCAAATAGCAGGATTAGATTTGAGTGAAAATAGTCTAGTAAAAGGACAATTTTTAAAACCAAACTGTGGATAACGTATGAGGAAATCACTCCATTAACATTCCTAAGACGTCATCACAATTCAAATATAATCAGAAGAAACCCATTTTAATCCCATATTCTTTCAGGTCATGGCATTATTACACGAGAAAAACTATTTTAAAAAGCATTGAAACCACAAATAGGCTATTATTTTCAATTTTCTTGGCCATAGGAGAAGCCAGGTGCATCATCGATTTGAGCTTAGAGACAACCTCCTTGCCGCTTGATTCGCACCTCCGACATGGTGGTTGATCAAGCTGCGCTTAGGATGTGACCGCATGGAGAAAAAAAAGAAGTGCAAATAGATGCATATGAGATTCAACCGTGATGGAAAAGCGAAAGAGTGTCTTATATCTTCACGAGAATATAGAATCAACATCCGGTGAAATCCCTAAATTCACATATCCACCCGCCAAGGTTAAATTACGTAATCCGGATTTGAGTAAACTATATTCTGTATGAGATATTTAGTCATTGTTGTTGGTCTGGACGAAAATAGCTTTACATTTTCGTTTCGTTGAGACCAGAAAACATACACAGAAAATCATCAACGTGTCCTACCCCGAATTGAACGGAAGAAAAAAGACAAGAAAATGCCTAAAGGACATTTAAATTTGGCGACAAAATAAAAACAGCAATAAATCCAGTAATTGAAACACTTCATTGTTTCATAATTCTTGTGAAATGACTGTTCAGGAGTGTGTATATTTGAATGCCTCTTAACAAAATTTGTATCCTTTAATCATCATAAAGAACTAAAGGGTGTGCCAATAACCTGAACTGATTTTAAATGTAAATTAATTTGAAGTGTCTAATGATTTTTTATCTTTTTCTTTCAGGTTTGGCGGACATGTTATTTTTCACACATAATTGCTGACTTACATAACATGACCCAATAGAGAAATAAATAAATTTTTACCAATAACACTGATTTATTTACTGCCGATCTTGATCCGTTTTAATGAAACACCCTTATATATAATCTGTCTTAATGAAACACCTTTTATTTTTCTCTCCATCAGCATGGCTGGTGATAACCTCTAGGATGCCAAATCATTGACTTTTGGGTTTCACGTTTGATACTAACAGTAAGTGGAGCGATTATATTGAATCAACTGCGAAGTCTTATTTTTTGTTAGAATCCATCTTTCTCATTTATAAGTCTAACATTCGCACGTGCATTAAATATCTGTTCTTTTGCTTTGGTCATATATCTGAGGATTCTCAACAAAATCCAAAGAAAGACCTATAACGTTATCGATCCTGACCTGGTATATCACCTTCAGTTGCTTTCCCACCTCCGTCATGTGGCTTCCTTCTGTCTTTTCTATAAATATTTTCATAGCAATTGTTCTAATGAGCTCTAATCCTTGGTACCGAAAACCCGTGAATATAAGCGTACTACATGTTTGGTCAGTAGGGCTCATCATGTTACTGTTGAAATAGCTTGATGTAACCCTAAATTCGATTCTAATCGTTTCTTTTATCCCACTTCTTACCTGTTTATTGCGTCTCTGACACTTAAAATCTTCGAAAATTTAAATCTAACGTCCATTGCCATCTTCTGTTCGTTTATTGTCCTTTACATAATGTAACTCTATTCTCTTCCACTATCAGTAAATATTTTTGTCTCAGTGGCTTTATTGCCTTGAATAGAGTGAGGTGATTAAAAGAAAGAAAAGACAAAAGTATGAAAATTGTCTTCTCTCTACTCTCTTTTGAACATCCTCCTTGCTCAAGTGCTCCATCCGTTGTTATCTCAGACTCCGTCGGTAGAACTACATCCTTGTGGCTTCCTGTCTCTTCTTTCATATGCACAGAAATTGTCCAGAAGTTATGGCTGCAGAGAATACACATGACATAGCAATTAAGCACACTTGTCTTTATTTAAACGAAATATTCGTAAGTCATTATACTTTGTGAAGTTTCTGGAAGACTTCTTGTTATTCCGATCCACCTTCAGACCTCTCCGCCAAATCTATCGTCAGATAAAAACTCTAGACTTAAATAGTCAGGTAAAACGCTACACTTAAATAGACAAGTAAAACGCTACACTTAAATAGTCAGGTAAAACACTACACTTAAATAGTCAAATAAAACGCTGCACTTAAATAGTCAGGTAAAACGCTACACTTAAATGGACAAGTAAAACGCTACACTTAAATAGTCAAATAAAACGCTACACTTAAATAGTCAGGTAAAACGCTACACTTAAATAGTCAGGTAAAACGCTACACATAAATAGTCAGGTAAAATGCTACACTTAAATAGTTAAGTAAAACGCTACACTTAAATAGTGAGGTAAAACGCTACACTTAAATAGTGAGGTAAAACGCTACACTTAAATAGTCAGGTAAAACGCTGCACTTAAATAGGTAAAATGCTACACTTAAATAGTCAAATAAAACGCTACACTTAAAAAGTCAAATAAAACGCTGCACTTAAATAGTCAGGTAAAATGCTACACTTAAACAATTAGGTAAACCGCTACACTTAAATAGTCACGTAAAACGCTACACTATAGTTAAATAGCCAAACCTATTTGATATGATATTACCAGATTCGGAGCTCACATATTTGTCTACCTCTCTTACTGTGACACTATTTAGCGGTCGCGTGAAAACAAAAACGAGAAATAATTAAGGCGAGAAGAAGCTATCACGAAAAGACATACTGAGCGATGTTATTTTTTTTGTTTTTTGTAACAAAGAAAAGTGGTAAAGATTTTATTTTTCTTTTGCGAATAGAAAAAGTGTTTTTTTTCTCTCGCGGAAGATAGGAGATTCGTGAGATCTCGGATCTGTCGAATTGATTTATGTTACGGGGCGGCGAATAAGAGATAGCCATCTGCCCATGGCAATAATGAAAATTTCAAATTGGTCAAGTGGCCCCTACGAAGCAGAAACTGAGAGATGGTTGTAATCGGGTCATGTATTGACCGAGAAAGACATCAGCTGAAGACCACCCCCAAAGAAAAAAAAGAAAGGAAGGGAAATGAGAAAGGAAAAGAATAAACCATTAACTATCTTTCGGAGATATTATTTGGTTTTGGGAAAAACACCTGTTTTATGTTCAGACATCCATGATAAGAGTTTGTTGCCTAGACAGACTGTGGCGACGGAAGCACGTAGGTATTGAGGAGACAAAGAGATTCACTGATCAACCCCGATGATTATTTGACGAAAATCTCGTTGACAAATTCCAGACGACATTCGGTTAAGATAGAGATTAGGAACCACACTGCGAGTCGTGGGAGGTCTGCTCGGGGAAATTAAAAAGAAAGAAAAAAAAAACGGGAGATAATTTTTTTTCCTTTGGGCGAAATTTTTAAACTGAGGCCAGTCTAGCCACACCCACGCTGCTGGGCGTTCATTGGCTGAAGGGTGGCGTGAGCGGTAGGCGAAGGCAAACTATGAGAAAGGAGGGGAGGCCTCTTGACGCCTCTGAGGGGATGGTCTGAGATACCACTGGGAGAGAGAAGGGGAACGTGTTGACGCCCTCTGAGGAGAATGGTGTGAGATACCAATTTGAGAAAGGAAGAATTTGGGATGACGATTCCCTTAAAGTAGAAAGTAATGGACTTCCAAAAATGGAAAGTAATAAATTTTCCTGTCTGAAAACAAAGAAAATCTTTATTGTGGAATTAGAATTATCGAGGAACCCCAAACCACGAGTCGCAGCGAGTTAGCCAGTAGTTGGAATTGCAGTGAGTCAGAGAGAGAAGTTAGTTGCAGTTGAGCTGTGAGCTCTGAGACCAGCCTCGCAGGAAGCTGAGTGAAGATCCACGCATCCCGACTTCAAGTTCTAGCCAAAAACAATTTATTTTTGAAGAACGACTTAGACTCACACCACCAAAACAAGTTTTACGAATATCGCCTGAAGATACAGAAAAAAAAACAGTTTCTTAAAAAAAAAAAACTGCTTAAGATGTTACGACTCGCCTAACAAACACAAAGTGTCACGAATCCAAAGCAACCAAATATAAAAAATATTTGTTATTCGCTTTTTAATACATTTGAACTTTTCGAGTTGTTACATATACTTGTGCGGTGTTACCTTTGCTCGGACTCTGCTTGCATTACGGCCCGGTGACTGATTGATTTCGTTTACCTAAGATCAAATCTCAACGTGGGTAGGTTAGACTAGAAGTCAAAGCAGTTACTTCGGTAACCAGACGTTGGAGGCGAGCTGGGAACGACAAGGATGATGCCGAATCTAACCAGATTCCCATTCGAATCAGCCAAGGGTTAGAACATTACATTTGGTGCCGTGACCAATACCAAGTCACACTGGTCGTCACAGGATAGCACTTTACGAAAGACACTACATTTGGTCTTCTCGTTTACGGCCATATCACGGTGAACCACCGGTTCCTGTACGATCACCGAAGTTAAGCAACGTCGAGCCTGGTCAGTACCGAGATGTCATACTGGTAAGGAATATCATGGAAATTTTGATCTCCTGTTAGTGTAATAGATAACGGCTCGGAATTGTAAATAGGTGAACTCAGTTCTAAATCCAGTTGGGTTTTTTATATTTACCTACGAGAAAATGCTCTTGGAAAAGGTGTGAAACCATCCCTTAATACCCCCCAGCTATGGGCTAATTATTAAGATTTTCATTAAACCACTATTATTTTAAATTATGTAAATAAAACTGAGTAAAAATATTTAGATTTTCACATCTATGTATATGAGTTTTGTTTTATTCCAAAATGCAAAACAAAACCTTGGAATCTGTCCATATTAATTTTTCAACAGGTGTGATGGTGACTCTGTTTACCTGATGAAAAAAATTCCTGGCAATACTACATTATCCATGGACAGTAGATTCACTTGATTTACATACATACATACAACATAAACCTATCTTATTTATGCAATTATCTATGTAAAATATATGACTCCACTTTTCCTCCCTTCCAGCTATGGGATATGTTATGGTCCAGGTTAGGACCAAGGAAGAACAACACGAACACAAGAGTAGAAATAACGAAGGTATATACATGAAATTATAATACAAGACGTGGAAGGTGTTAGTATGACTGTCAGTCTGGTTTGGAGTGAACTACTATCGGCTCGACTCGATTCGGCATCTAGCCCCCCACCACCACGAGGGTTGTATATGGCACAAGGCCGAGTTTAACGTGGGTTTCCCAATCCCCTAGACTCGGCCAAAAAATGCCCGCAGAACCCTTATAAACGGGATCGGGTTGGTCAACCTACCCGAACGAGACTCTGCCCTTCGGCGGAGCTTCGTCCGGGTTCCTCTCTGCTCAGAGGCAGAGAGTTCGAAGTCAAGACGAGAAGCTAGGCTTGAATTGACTCTCTTTCTTGAGAGGCGTAGTATACATAGTGTTAGGAATAGTTCATTCTGTAGTTATAGGTAAGGACCCATGACAGGTTAATAAGTAAGTATTGTAAGAGTTAAATTGTCTAGTTAAAAATATCTTAGAATCTAAAAATATGTGTTGGCTTTTAATAATCTGAAAAGATTAAGAAGTCGAAAACAACAAATCAGTTTTATGTTCTTATGTTGTTTTTTTTTACTGGGGACTTCAAACTTTTCTTTTTTTAACTTCTCTAAGAGTTTTTGTAGTTTCCATGTGAATCCATTATCAAGAAACTCTCATCAATGTACCTTTTACGGATTCTTTCTGTTATTGAGAAGAACCAAGTAAACAAAGAAGTAATAGAGTTGTACGAACAATAATGGGTAACATGTAATTTCGGCTATGAATTCCTAATCTCTACGGCATTGTGTAACTTTTATTCTCAAATTACTTTCCTGTTGGTGAGATTTTAATTTAAAAGCTGATACATAATTGGCGTTGCTTCGATAGGTGAAAGCCGATTATTCCTTTATTGATACGGAGAAGCGGCCTCGTAGCCCGTGGCGGGCAGGCAGAAATTAATTACAGGTGGGAAATATTTGCGAGGGACACAGAATCTTCGCGTTTTCATTTGATCGCTATTGTCGATTTATTTCGCCAGCGGTGGCCTTAGGAAAAACAGTTTGGCCAATTGCCTACAGGATCCAGGCTGCTTCATGTATAGACCTAAAGCTATATCAAGAACAAGATGACCACAAAAGCAAATATCCGACGGTATTCATTTCGGGCGATATATATATATATATATATATATATATATATATGTGTGTGTGTGTGTGCTGTTCACAAACACAGACACACACATATGTATAGATAGATAGGTAGATATTAATTAGATAAGTAAATCTAGATACAAACAACCATAAATGCAGGAGATCGCGTACATATATAAATTTTCAAATAAATGTTTTATTTAATATTTGTTGTTAACAAAACAGTTCTCCGTATGGTATTACAGAGTTATAAAGTATATATTAAGAAATATATACATCATCGTAAGTCGATAGTACGATTCCGAGTTTCATGTTAAATACAATATATAGACATCAATATCGGTGTAAGGTAATTATCTATCTATCTATCTATATATATATATATATATATATATATATATATAGTTAAACCTAGAGAGCCAGACAAACCTACCAAGGTTTCAACAAAGCGGATCGTCAGGGAAGGCTGGCTTCCCTTACGATCCGCTTAGGTGAAACCTTGGTAGGTTTATCTGGCTCTCTAAGTTTAACTAGGTCTGCTCTACTTACTGTATCGAGCAGTTTATTTACTTATTTTGCCTACTATTATCGGTTTTTTTTTCTTTGGGCTTTGGACTTGCATGCTAGACGATTATTTTCGGCTAACGTACATGATCTTGGTTCTTTCTTTTTTTTCCTTTTAGTATTGGTTTGATTATTTGCAAATCAAGACAACAAAGGGTTTTCAGACGAGTATA